CGTTGGCGGTGCAGAGCACAACTACCACCTAGGCAAGCTTCTGATGCGCTCACTTTTCCAACCTATGCGTTAAAGTCACCTGCCAGTACAACCGTATCGGAGCTGCGACTCGTCCGAATGAGATCGGTGAGTCTATCGTAGAAAGCGTCGTTTTGTGTGTCAAAACCGCAATTAGTCGGTGCATATGCTGATTTGACGAGCAAAATCTTTTTGGTATTGCTTCCCTTCCGGACGCTGATTGAACCCTAAAGACGCACTGCACATAAACCACTATTTACGGCGATCCAATCGATACGAGAGGACTCCGCCCTGTTACTGAGTAGAATACCTACCCCGTGCTGACCTACTGTGCGGGCTTCGTCGTCGCCTGATGTGCGAAGGTCGTATCTCGAAGTCAAACCTGGCGCACTCAAGTGGCTTAAAGTAGTAGTGTCCTAAATCCGAGTTTCCGACACGCAGCAAATATCGATTCCTAAGGATTCCATTGTACGAGCCAGACAAGCTTGTTGACCTAACTGCATCAGAGTCCTCACGTTAAATCCCCCAGATTCAGTGATTGACGAGGCTTCAAATTCTGCAATCCATTTCGTGGTACATTACTTGCAGTGTTATTTGGCAACCATCTTAGGCAGCCGACATCCAAGTTACTAGAGGGACTATTACAGGTCGGAAGAAGGGGAAGATGGAGAGGACTGGGTACGGAAGACAAAGAGTTGGGATATCTGAGCAGTAGCCCACTAATCATTACCCACCCCGCTCGATGCAATGCGCAGCGCGGTCCCGATTATCTTGCGTGACGACCGATGCAGTATGAAATTATTTTTTATTTGTGTATGTGTTTGAGTTTGATGAACGGGTACTAACAGAGTGTCCAGCCACTAAGCAGGAGAACGATTAGGGTTCTGGTCCAAAGCCTTCAGTTCTAACAAGAATCTGACGGCAAGGCAGCGGATGAAGCTAAGTGGGAGCCCGTTTACTTGGATCAATTACTCTTCCACCGTTTTTTACCGATTAAAACGCAAATTCCAGTCCAATCCCCAACCTGGAGGGCCAGGAGACTGAACTTCGTTTGATCTCTACTCATTGACCTTCTAGACATGATAAGATCTCTTGGCTTGACAAAGCCATCCTGTGTAGCTCGTTGGGTCAGGGAGGTGCACAAGCCATCACACCACGTCAAGGTGCAGTCTCTTCGTGATTTCACCATGCATTAAACAAGTCATGATGTCAGTATTTTTCCACGGAAAAACATAAACGGTTTAGATTTTCGATAATAAGTGCAGTTGATTACACCCATGTGGTTTGGAATCATGCAGAAATAATTTTTTTTACTATCATTTCCGTTTTCCTTTCCTACCAACTAATGCAAGTATTGATTTAATCTCAAAAGGCACTTGTGAATTGAGAAGAGTTATTTATTCGGAACCGGCGATATGAATATGAGAACAAAACCTAGCGGCTAACCTCGGTTATCACTGCCGCCTAAATCAACCATTGCTGCGTGCGTCAAACAAAAATGATCGTGGAGTTATTGTTCACAGGGAGCTAGGGTGTTCCACACATTGCGTTAGAGCGTCGCCAAAGGCCATAAAGCGAAGAGGATTAATAAAATC